GTGGACCCTGGGAAATGCAGACTACTGGGGATGTCGTTCAGCACCGTGACCGACGAAACCAACGCTTCCCAAATGAGGCTCATGCAGAACAATCAATCAAACTCTTGTTGCCACCCGTGCTGACCGTGCACGTGTCGCTCGACCCCACCGTGCCCTGCATAGCTCCCCACGGTACGTGGCTTAGCACATCATCGGGGTGAACGTTGAAATCGGTGCCCATCACCACAGGGTACGTAGGATGTGCCCAGTCGTGGCCGAACGCCTTCCATATTTCCAAGTTCCTCGCTGCGAAATTTCTCCGTCGTAGAAGCAGGCCGCATCAACAAACACAGTGCCTAGCTCACGCGCTTGGACAAACGCTCGCACCAGTCGAGTTGAAACCAGAACAGCATTGCCCATTGCCCAAGACGGGATGTGGCCTCTGACGAATAGGGCAACACCTCCAGTGGGCCAACCACCTTCCCCAAACACGGCCTGGGAAGAATACGGACGCCACCCCGCAGCTGGGATAGTTTCTATACCCTGCTGATTTCGATCATCACGAAGTTTCGTTTCCTGTAACATGATAGCATCCATAACCAACGTACTACTGACATCCACGTAGATGGCCCCAATGTCACAGTTCGAAGTCGCGAAATCAAACGTGCTGCAATGACGAGCGCTACCCACCAGGCTCATTGTCTCCCTGCGACAAGGCTGGGGAAGCGGGCGCTGGCCTTGGTGCTCCGCTGGGAGCCTCTGCGGCTGCCGTACCTGCAAGCCCGTGTGGGCCGCCCGCTTCAACTCCACGGGAGGAGACGCGTCCTGCCGGGCCCGCTTGACGGCTGCCGCCACCTTCGCCGCCAGCGCCCGCTTGTGGCCCTGGTCCAGTGCCTTGGCTCCCTCGCCGCCCTCAAGAATGTCATTGAAAGCGCTTGTGTCCACGTCTATGGAAGCGTCGTCTCCTGGCCCAGGTGGCGCCTGAGCCTCGGAGGATGGCTTGGGTGCAGGGACTTGGGCTGGTACTGCTGCGAGCTTTGCCTGCAACGCCGACCAAAGCTGTTGACCCTTTTGATCCAAATGGCCATCAGACGCGAGCTCCTCGTCCTCCTTCCTCCTCCTCCTCCTCCTCCTCCTCCTCCTCCTCGTCCTCCTCCTCCTACTCCTCCTCCTCCTCCACCTCCTCCTCCTCCTCCTCCCTTTCCTCAATCCTCCCTCCTCCCTGTTCCTCCCCCCCTCTCCTCCTGCCCATCCGCCCTCCAGCCCTCTCTCTCTCTCTCTCACTCTCGCCCTCTCTCTTTCTCTCTCGCTGCTCGCCCTCCTCGCCCTTCCCGACCCCATCCAACCGCACCTCCTCCTCCTCCTCCTCCTCCTCCTTCTCCTCCTCCTCCCTCCTCCTCCTCCTCCCCTCCTCCTCCCCCCCTTCTTCCCCCCCCTTCTTCCTTCTTCTCCTCATTCCCTGCTCCTCCTCCTCCTCCCCTCCTCCTCCTCCCTCCTCCTCCTCCTCCTCCTCCTCCTCCTCCTCCTCCTCCTCCTCCTCCTCCCCTCCTCCCCCCCTCCTCCCCCCTCCTCCCCCTCCTCCCCTCCTCCTCCCCCTCCCCCTCCTCCCCCTCCCCCTCCCCCTCCTCCCCCTCCTCCCCCTCCTCCCCCTCCTCCTCCCCCTCCTCCCCCTCCCCTCCTCCTCTCCTCCTCCTCCTCCTTCTCCTCCTCCTCCTCCTCCTCCTCCTCCTCCTCCTCCTCCTCCTCCTCCTCCTCCTAGGCGGAGCGCTGGTTGCAGGATCCAGTGGCCAGGGCAGCGTTGCGCACCGCAGTGCTGGGTGGTCACTTCTCGCAGCGGCGTTTGCAACAGTATGCTTATGCCGAGAACGGTGCCTGTAAGTACTGCCTCAGGGTGTGTAACACGTTGCATCACAGGTACCGGGCTTGTCCTGCATTCAATGGCGTGCGAGAGCACGCGGCGGGTGATGCCATTTTGGCAGAAGCGCGCCGCACAGTACCAAGTGATCTGCTGTACCCGAGAGGGCTGTATCCCAATTCTTTCTTGCCAGCCCTTCTCCATCGCAGTGACAGTGGTGTTTGGTGCTGTGATCGTGGTGCCAAGGTCGAGGACTACTTCAGCGTGACGGGCTGAGTTTTCACCGACGGCTCCTGCAAGAAGCTCCTGCACTGGGACGTCGCCAACCGTGCTGGCTGGGGTTTCGTGGTGGTGGGGGACGGCACGTACTTGGGCGCAGCCTTCGGGCCTCTCTCAGGGCTTCGCCAAACCTCTGAGCGTGCTGACCTGTACGCGGTGCTGCATGTCTTGACGGTGGGAGTGGCCCCGCTGCGGATCTTCACCGACTACATGCCACTACTGGAGGGTCTCCAGCGTGGACGGCGATGGTGCTGCTCCCCGAAGCGCGAGAATGTGGGTGAACCTCTGGCAGTGGATGTACCACTATGTGGACGATCGTGGTGGGGTGATCCTTGGTGATGATGCGGACATGCCTATCCGCGTGACGTACGTCAAGGGCCACTCCAATGACAGCACCTGGGAGAGGAGGTGCAACGACCTGGCCGACATGGCGGCCAAGAGGGGGCGCAGGATCCACGACCTCCCTCTAGCTGTCGCGGAGGCGTACGCCGACGCCCTGCAGCACGTGCGCCAGGTCGCCGCGTGGGTCGGCGCGTCCTCCCGCATGGCCTTCGACGGCACCGTGCCGCCCGACCGCGACCATGTGCCCAGGCACCGCGCTGCCCCCCTGCGCCGACGCTGGGAACAGCTGCGGGCTGAGCTGCCAGGGGCCGCTCGAGCCTGCACCCCAAGGCGGGCGCGGCCGCCTGACCGTGAGGCCCTCACCTTGCCGCACCTGGTGTGTCGCAGGGGCCAAAACTGGTCCTGCGATCGTTGCTCCGCTTTCGCGGTCTCCGCCGAAGGCGCCTCGAGACTCAAGCGGGGTGTCTGTAGGGCTGCCGGGGCGGCGGCCCTCTGGGGCGTCGAAGGCGCTTCGCTCGAGGTCTCCCGCGAGGCGCTGGGCTCCGTGGAGTCTGCGGGAGCCGAGGGCTCCTCCGAGGCCAGTGCGGCGGCCGGCCCTGATGGGGCCGCCGCCGACGACGGGGAGCCGCCGCCTCTGGCTACCGAGGGCCTTGGGCGGTCCCTGGCTTTCGAGCGGGTGGGGTTCGGGACGGAGGAGGAACACTGGGGCGAGGACCTCGAGGAGGTGGCGGGACGGCTGGCCAAAGCCGCCCGCCCCCGAGGCTCCGAGGAGCCCGTCCCCCCCCCCCTGCCCCGAGTGCGCGCACCAGGTCGGGGGGGAACGTCATCGAGGACTGGTCTTCGAGCTGGCCGCGCCCGAAGGCCCCTCGGCCCCTGGCCCCGCCTCCCGCCGACGGCCCTGCTGGGCCCCCCCTGACGGCCCTGGTGGGCCTCCGCCCTGCTTGAGGGCTCGGGCCTCTGGGGGTCCGCGGCGGGGTTTGTCCTGGGCCTCGCGTGATGCTGACCTCCCTGACGTCCCCTCCCCGCTCAAGGCCCTGTCGGGCCTTGAGCGGGGAGGGGTCTGCCTTGCTGGGGCCACCTTTGCATTCTGACTGCGCTGCAGCGCTCGGGCACAGCCGTCGGCCTTTCGATCGAGGCTCTGGGGCCACTGCGAGGGCATTGCATCCAGTAAGGACGCCACCTACCTTAGCTCCCACAAGGTGGGCAAGGACCCCTGTCACGGGGGAGTGGCGGGGGGACCCCTGCCCACTTCTCTCTTCTGACGATGCATGCTTTTGGCTCCGTCTTAGATCGCCCCCTCTGGGTTATGTTCCTCACCGCCGTGTTGTGCGCGGTGTTCGTTGTTCCTGCTCTTTGCCTGTCTTTGCTGCTGCTCTGCGCCCTCGTTTTCGGTCTGGTCGTGCCTCCTCCTCCTCCTCCTCCTCCTCCTCCTTCCTCTCCTCATCATGCTTCTTCCCTCCTCGCTCTTTCTTTCTTCCTCCTCCCTCCTAACGGGTCGCACTCCATCCGTGTAATGGCTGCAAGCGTCTAAGACGAACGCGCGAGGCGCAGAAGGCGCGAACACCATTTGGAAATGGGTATCTCTCCCATTCGTGCATCTGTGAAGCTTTTGGACCGTTCAAACCTCACGCTCATAAACTACTTGGAAGTCTCAAGCGATACGCCCAGTTCCGCCCTACCGACACGTCTGCCAATGCAAGAGGGCGGAGGTCTACGGCGTATCCCTGAAATTCCCAACATGTCTCCTGACGTCCGACACCGACAGCAGGCGGTCCAGCTTCTCCATTCGCGAATCACGATCATACGATCCGCGACGGCCTTAACTCCTGGGTCTGCTCAGGCTGACCCCGAGCTGTGGCTTGACGCCTGCCCCCCTCTTCGTTCCACTGCATTCTCCCACACTTCCCTGACCAAGGCAACTCGCACAAGGATAGTTTACGGATAGGCTGGCGGGGTACGCGAAGCACCAATAAGTCTCCATTTCTCGATCACCTAACTACCCCTCCCTCGGAACTCGGCATCTGGACCTGTCTGGAGGCGCGCTCCGACCAAAGCTTCGAGGCGGCGACCCTGACTCTGCCCGAGGCGCGGACGTGTGAGCTGCCAAATTAAACCACAGCACCTCGAGCACGCAGCGGCGACGGCGGTCGCGAGGCCCCGATCGCGGCCCAATCTGCTGCGGGAGGGGGAGGGAGAGGATGAGGACGACGAAGACGCAGCGACGCCGTGGTTTTCAGGCTTTATAGCCTGGCCCTCTGGCGGCCATTCGAAAGATTTGGGAAAGCCCGGAACGCTGTCGGCGAGGCGCAGCCGCCGTAAAGCATCCCGAGGCTGGGACACCGCCGAACGCCGAGGACACTCCCTGAAAAACTCCATTCTCGATCGTCGTCGAGTCGTCGCAGACGTCGACGACGACGGCGGCGACGACGGCGACGGAGACAACGACGACGACAAAGACTCGACGACTCGACGACGACTCGACGACGACGATGACGACGACGTGACGACGACCACGATTCGACGACGATGCTCCGCGAGGCGTGGCCTCCGCGGCAAGAGGCTCATCTGGACGCCCGAGAAGCCCGAGGGCTGGCAGCCCTCGCCCGCGCCCGTGGTGTTCGTCCACAGGTTCATCCTCACGTACGGGATGTCGGGCAGCGTCTGTCGAACGGGGGGGGGAGGGGAGGATAGCAAAAGGGCAGGCCAGAGAATCGGCTCCCGCAGCCGGTCTCCCCGGAGCCTCCTAGCGCCGGGAGGCGCCCACGCATCGAGGAAAGGCGCCTGGCGGCGGGGCGGAAACCACCTGTGTGCCGCAGATCTCGTAACTCCCCCTTTCCCGATCCTGACCCGTCGTCCGGCCCGAACCTGGGAGCAGGAGGGGGATCCGGGATAGCTCGGCGACGGCGAAGCCGGGCAACGCCGGCTGGGATGTGGCGCCACCTCGGGGCCTCCTGGGACCCCATAGCGTGGTTTTTTGACTCGCGGACAGAGGGCGAACGGCGCGGCCGCTGGCGCCCACCCCATAGCGTGGCACATGCTTGCTTTTGGAAGGATCGACCGCGCGCCGAGAGGAGAATCGAGAGGAACGAGCGAGCGAACGAACGAGCGATACAGCCGCCGCCGGGAAGCCGGCGTCCCTGCAGGGGAGACTGGCGCGCCAGTCGTGCGCGGGCCTTCTACGAAGGTCGCTCGATCTGGGATCGGGCCAAGAACAATTCAAATATGGAACGTTTGCACGAGAATTGAGAGGAGGCAAGCCTTATGAGCAGGCGGCGGTGTATTGGATTCAGAGAATGCTCAGAAAGCTTCTTAGAAAACCGCAGGCTTTCTGAGCATTGTGATAAAGCCCGCCTCCTCTGCCTTCCCCTGGGCGCGCCGCTGGAAAGGAGGAGAATCACGAGGGGGAGGAAGGGGAGGAGGAGGAGGAGGAGGCGGAGAAGGAGGAGGAGGAGGAGGAGGAGGAGGCGGAGGCGGAGGCGGAGGAGGCGGAGGATGAGGATGAGGATGAGGAGGAAGAAATCGAGGGGTCCGGGAGAGGGAGAAGGAAGAGGAGGAGGAGGAGGATGAAGAGGACTATGAGGTGCGCTGAGCGCCTGCGTCAGGAGGGCGTGGAAAGCACAAGAGGGACGACAGGGATGGGGAGGAGGCGTGGCTCGATACGGCACAGATTGAGTTCTAAGTTCGAGGCTACAGCTTCGACGATCGAGGACCGTCCATCGGGGTTCTTCGACGCTCTTCGCCTTCTCTGCGCGTCCTCGAGCGGAGAAGGAGGAAACAGGAGGGAGGGAGAGAGGAGGGAGGAGGGAGGAGGGGGGAGGGGGGAGTGGGGAGTGGGGAGGGAGGGAGGGAGGAGGAGAAGACGAGGAGGAATCAATGGAGGGAGGGAGTGATGGAGGGAGGGAGGAGGTAGAAAACTTTGGACGTCGCTCAAGGTGTGTCCCGCACATGTCCATCGGTCTTGGCCAAGACTCGCAAATTAGTACTGCGTTCTTAGGGAAAAAGGGGAATGTGAACCCGCAAGTCTCACCACATCGCTGTGAAGCCTCGGGTATCATCACATTGATCTTCTTCTCTGCAGGAGAGGGGAGGAAGGATGGAGGAGGAATGAGGCGGAGGAGGAGGAAGAGAAGGAGGGAAGAGGGATGGGAAAATCAAGAGGAGGCAAGGGGATGGCAGAAGATCGAGGGTCCTTGAACGGCCGAGATTTACTTACGACGAGGGTCCAATATCGAGGTTCGACGGGGCTTTTTTTCCTTACGGAACTATGTCTGATGTTGCCGGGGTCCGGAAACGGCCTCCGGAGGTAGATATCGCGAAAAGCGATGGGATCGAAACAATCAATCCTTCGGAGATCAGGTCAGCTTCTTGGACGTTTCTGGTCCTCCTTGGACCTCGGGGGGCCCTTGGGCTCTTGAGGCCGTGTGCCACAAACCGTCCGCGCAGCGTGGCAAAACACGGCCCTGGTAGGTTCTTGCCCCGCTCTGCGGAAATGTCGATGCAGACCCGCGTGCCTACAACCCTCTGGCCTTTTCTTCTGGCCTGGGGTCCGGGTAGATTGAGCGGAGGACGGCGCCGCATCGCTGATACATCGGCGATGCATCGACGACACTGGGATGGACGGCATCGGGCCCCAAAGCGAGCCCGCCGCCGATGCATCGGCGCCACAGCGCGATCCACCGACCCCGACCCCATGCGGCCGGGGGTCTCCAAACGGTGGTGACCACACCGCGTGCTGAGTGGGTGGGGTTCGGGGTCACCGCAAGCTCGGTGTGTGCGTGCGTGTGAATGTGTGTGTGTGTGTGTTTGTGTGTGTGTGTATGTGTGTGTCCGCCCAGGCAAAAACCGCCCGTGGGCGCGTCGTGAGCTTAGGGAGGGGGAGGGGAAGGAGGAGGAGGAGGAGAAGGAGGAGGAGGAGGAGGAGGAGGAGGAGGAGGGCCGTGCTCCGAGGACGTCTCGGGCGACTTTGGCCTCCAAGGTCCCAAAGCCGTGCGGTGACGGACCGCGCGGGGCAGCCGTTCGGGACTCAGAGGTCACCGCGCGGTCCATCACCGCACCGTCTTGGGGCCTCCGAGGACGTCTCCGGCGACGTTGGCCTCCAGGGCCCCGAAGCCGTGCGGTGACGGACCTCGCGGGGAAGTCGTTGGAGACTCCGAGGTCACCGTGCGGTCCATCACCGCACCGTCTGGGGGCCCCCGACAGCTGGGCGGCCTGGACTCTTCGACCTGGGCGAGCGCGTTCCACCACTCCCAGCGTAACTACTCGTCCATTTGCCTGGATCCGCCGCGGGGGGGGTCCGACCCATTCCATCCAGGAAGACATGTGCTCTTCGGATGCCTATGGGTAGGCACCCTGCGAGCAGTGGAGCGCGCTCGGTGGACCTCTGGGGAGCTCTGTGCCGACGGCGGGGCCTGGCCGCACGCCCGCCGGAGCGGCGCGCGCCGGCGGCGAAAGGTCGAGCGCTGCGCTGCGGCGGGCGCGCGCAGCGCGGCCGCGGAGGCTGACCCGAGGCCGGCAGTGACTGGCGGCTGCCGCGCCCATGGTGGCGCCGCAGCGTCACTTACAGGCCAGGCTGACTGGAGAGGGCACCAAACCCTTCCGAGGGCCACACTGCCGTAGTGATGCAGAAGGCAGGAATCGCAATCACAAGACACACGACCCTTCCGAGGGCCACATTGCCGCAGTCATGCGGAAAGCATGGATCGCAGAACACAGGACACACGGGTACCCTGGACTTGGCAGGGTCGACGTACTAGTCAACCTCGACCGTACCCTAGGCAAGGAAAACCTTTGGTGCACGGCTTTGGGAGGCCGCGGAGGGAGCAAGTCCAGGCGCGCAAGCCGGTGCAGGGGACTCCTGTAGGCTCGCACCAGAGGAGGTCACTCTGGCGAAAGGTCGCTCTTGCGCGTCGCCGACAGCACTTCTGGGCGCTCCAGGGCTCCGGCCCGCCGAGGGGCGACGCCGCCCCCGCGGCAACACCCTGCGGCTGGCCGCCGTCGGGCAGGATCGGCAGCCCGAGTGCGACGCAGGGCCGCCGACGGAGCGGGCCGCTCCAGTCCGGGATGGCACCCTGTCGCCCAACACCTCGGCCTCCGCTCGGCGCCAGCATGCGCGACTCAGCAAGGGCGGCAGCTGGAGTCAGGCGACCGGGCCGGCACCGGCGTGCACGCGGGTCTCGAGGCGGCCTGGCTGGCCCAGCCTGGGACGCCTTCGCCACGCGGGACGGCCATCTGCTGGACTTGCACGCACGCTGCCCGACTGACCGCCGGCGCGTGCCGCGCGGCCGAGTGTGTCCAACACCGACAGGCGAAGCATTGTGGGTGAAATTGCGGCTGGTAAGGCACGGTGTGCGCGCGTGTGTGTGTGTGTGTGTGTGCGTTCCAGGGACCCAAGCCTGACGAAAACGCCCGGCTGGATAAAATCGGGACGCCAGGATCTCAGGGTGATGCCGATCACCATCTGTCGCACCATTCACGACCTCGGCCTTGGTTGGCAGGCGTGCTGCTCCAAAAGGCGGATGCCAACACCCGGTCTCGGCAGCGCTGCGAAGAGGGTGGCGGCAGCCGAACCTCGTGCTTCGCGGGCGATCGCGCCTGGCCTTGGAGCGAAGGCAGTCAGTCCTCTGGAGCACACGTCGCGAGCTCAACGCCGCCGACGACGGAGTCGGCGCCAACGTCGTCGGCGTCGGCAAGCAGGAGCAGGCGGCCGACGTCGTGGGCGGGTCGAGAGCCTCCCCCCTCGCGCGAGCGAGCGGGTCTGCGCGGCAGACGGTTCGAGTAGGAGATCGACTACAGAATTGATATGCCCCGAATTCGATTTTGTTGGTCGAATGTGCGAAACATGCGCAGAACTTCCGTAGACCCACGGAGCAATTCGCAGGTTCGAAGAGTTGTCTAGATTTTTTGGATACATCAATTCTGTAGTCGATGCCCTACTCGAACGGTGGGTGGGTGGTCGGCAAGCTGCCCGGCGCGGCACCTCCGCGGCCACCGCGGCTCGAGCAGAGCCATCGGGGCGGCACGGCCTCTGGCGCCGGCGGGGCGTTGGCCGGGAGTGCCGCTGTGGAGTGCGTGGCTCCGGAGGGGGACCTGAACATCGTTCAACCACCTCCTATCCACACTGGTGTGGCCTAGACCCACTGGCCGACCTACCCAAACTAGGTGTGTATATTTGTGTAGATGCACACATGTGTATATTCATATGCAAGTGCGGATATACACACATATATATATATATATATCATTATATATAATACTTGCATAAAAAACATACCTACATGTATATATATATATATGTATGTGTAGACATGCGTATGTCGGTGTGGATATCTGTATATATGTGTGTATATGCCTGTTCCTTCGGGTTTCGCTGGGTCTATCACAACCTGGGAGGGTGTGCTGGTGGGGCCGAGATACCGTGGACCAATGGGGATGTGGATCAATTCGACGATGCTGAGTAGCGCTGCCCGGGACGCGCGGCCCCAAACCTCGTCGTGGGCGTAGGCAGCGCTGGGCTCGGCAGCCGCGGACACAGCCCTTTGCGTGCGGCGTAGTTGCGCTGGACGTCGTGTGGCGCTGCCTCTGCGGCCGCGGGAGCGTCTGGCTCGCTTGCGGCACGAGCGCGCTGGTGGTGGGCCCACGCAGCCATCTGTGCTCGCCAAGTG